CTTCCACTGTGGGTGGGAGGTGGGCAGGGCAGGGCTCCAGCAGAGGCCTCTAAGGGCTTGCTTCTAGAAGTGTGGTCCCTGGACCACCTGGGAGCTGGTTAGAACTGCAGACTCAGCCTCACTCCAGACCTACTGAATCAGAATATGCATTTTAACATGATCCTCAGGTGAGTCATGTGCACAGCGAAGTCTGGAAGCAGAAAACTGAGGACCACGGTCCCTCTTGCCCAGGTCTAGGAGTGGTATTAACAGTAGGTATCAATAAATATTTGCTCAACTAAAGGCAAATATCACCTAAAACAGGCCTGGTAGCCACTGGGGATTGTGGCTGCTTGGCTCATGGTGATTTCATTTCTTCTTTCTCTGGGGCTCAGGCGCCAAGTTTCTTCTTCTGGCCTAAGCTGACTGGTCCAGTAGTAGGTGCCGGACCCACACTGGGCCAAACTGATGCTATCTCGCAGGAATTTGAAATTTAACTCAAATAATAGGCCCTGGAGTGATAGCAATGGTAATAGTGAATATCTTCAATGCACCTGTGATGTGCCAAGCACAGTGCTGAGTGCTTTACATGCAATTTATAATCCATCTTCCGACAGCCTCATCAGGCAGGTATTATGGTCTGCTTACTTTTCAGATGAGGAGCTGGGGCTCCCAAAGGTTCAGAGGGGGAAGTGACACCCAAGGAGAGCTGGACTGATTGGGTGGCTGAAACTGAGCCGCATGATGCAGGGACAAGGTCTGTCCACTTTGCTGCCCTGGTCCCAGAGTTTGCACGGCTTCCTGATGATTGGACCGATCACAGGGGAAATGGCCCATGTGCAGTGGCAGGCCAGACCCAGCTCTGTGAGATGGCTACAGTGATGGAGGGAGGGTGGCCTAGGGGCTGAATGATGGTCATGAGCTGTGGGGGAGGGCAGCAGAGGGAAGCTGCACTCCCCCGGGGAGAGCAGGGCACTGAGTGGAACCAGCCGGGCCCATCCACACTTCAACACAGGCAGAGCGCCCACTCTGATCACCCTGGAGCTCTGCTCCCCACCTCCTCCTCCTCCAGTGAGTTAGCAGTGAGCCTGCCAAGAAAAAGGTGTGGGTGGCTTATTTCGAAGATACAGGGCAGCGGGCAGCAGAGAAGTTTGCATCCTCCTCTGCACCGGGTCCCCAGAGGCACGGACACCCAGGAGGCTGAAGGGGGTGGAGGCAGCCGGGCTCTGCGGGGGCCAGATAAGCAGTCTGGATTGGAGTTGGGGGCCTCACCGGCAAGAGGACCAGAGTGGTCCCTGGCTCTGGCTCTCAGAGAATGGGACCCTGAATGGAATCTGCCATTCTGTGGGAGTGGGGGGAGGGGATGCAGGGCAGTGGCCTCAGGCAGGTAGAACTGTGAGCACCTAAGGCAACAACATGAATCAACAGCAGAGAGTGTCTATCAGGATCCAAGCCTCTGCGTGTGCAGGGTTGTTTGGCTTTATTTAAAACACAAACCAACATCTGTCATTATTAACACTAAGACAGTGATGTCCCCTGCTGTCACTTGACAATTGAACATCACACAGCATGTGAGTGGGTCACACTTTCAGTGGTTCACAGCACAGGTGGCCCACAATAGCCATGAAGAAATACACTTCTCATTGTACAATTTCCCTTTTAAAAAAACCAATCATCACGTGAGGAGCATCGCCGGCTCCCTCCAGTGAGGAGGGTACAACGCTTGGTAGCAGAGCCCAGCTCCCTGTGGCCCCTCACCGTGGGTAAGGGCTGCCCCAGCATGGCGACCAGGACTCCTCAGGAGGGAGTGGCTACGGCCAGAACACTGCCAGGGCCTCCTTCGCTGCTGGGAGATGGAAGGCACCGGTTCCAACGCCCACAGGCAGGGGAGAGCTACCAGGAGCCTGGGCTGTCATCAGCACCCCCGAGGCCCCCCCAGCCAGGGCTGCAAATAGCTCCAGGCCCACGCAGCTCCCAGGCTGCTGACAAGGGCTGTTTGCTCCTGTTTCTTCTCTTTCTTTTTATTTTTTTAAGGGAGCTAAATTCAGAGGAAGAGCTGGCAGTTCTGGAAACTTTTTGTGGCTCCTCAGACAACTGAGGCAAAACGGAGTAGAGGGAGGGCCATCTCCAGGCTTATTTTTTTAAGGGAGCTAAATTCAGAGGAAGAGCTGGCAGTTCTGGAAACTTTTTGTGGCCCCTCAGACAACTGAGGCAAAACGGAGTAGAGGGAGGGCCATCTCCAGGCTCTTTCTGCTGACCCTGGCAGGGGCCGGAAGGGGGCCTCTTCCTCTGGGGTGAGCAGCCCCCGGGGCCAGTAGGAGCAGGGCTCAGTGAGGAAGCCAGGCCTGTGGCTCCTCTGACGAAGAGAATGGCATCTCCCATGCCCAGCCCTTCTGAGGGCCTCGTGTGGCCTGAGGCTGGGCCACCTCCTGCTCCCTTCAGTCTGGAGGCAGCTGCTGCTGACAGGTGTCTAGCAGGGGTCATGGGCTTCATTTTGGGGGTAGGGGAAGATAATCTGAGATTGAGCCCAAAGGGGGAAACTCAGGAGTGGGATTGCAGCTGACTGGGCTCCAGGCCACGGTCGAGCACCTGGTGCAGCTGAATCCACAGAAGCACGTCTGTCCTGAGGCCCGCCTTCCTCACAGCAGACAGGGCTACAGACCCCAACCCGCCTCAAGCCCCCCACCCACTAGCATTTCTTACTGAGGAGCATTTCCGTGCCCGAGGGTCCCGTGAGGTTTTGTCCCCACAGTCCACTCTGCCCCGCTCCCCTCCCCAGCCTCGGGCCACACCAAGCCAAGCCGCACAAGA